TTTTTTTTTTTTTTTTTTTTTCTTCCCCATTCACTCCCCCACCAGTGTTTGCGGTGCTGATAAGAGCAGACACCACTAACACCTGGGGAGAGGCTCCATCTAATTGGTGGGGAGCATCACCTGCTGGAAAGCAGGTCCAGCATCCCATTTACAGACTGAAAGTACCTTAGAGAAACAATTTTGGGAGTTCCTGCTAAATCCAGATCTGGCAAATCTACCGACACCTTTTTTTCATCCAATCGGAGTCGGGTAAAATCCAGATCTAGCAAATCTCTCTGTCCTCTATCTCCCTCCTATGCCTTTTAGGGCTCTAGAGATCGATATAGAGATCTTTGCATAAACCCTTTCCAAATTTTATGCATCGAGGCATAAAGGTGGCCGGCGGCGAGTTTGGTTCATTTGGATCCACAAGTCCCTCGATCACAGAGCGCCTGAATTTCTTTTTTTACTCTTTTCCAAAACATGTTCTGGACATGGTTCCTCTTCACATTTGTACTTGCAGAGTTTCGTCCTGATTGTAGTACAGTGCTCTCATAAGATTTTTTTTCTTTTCTTTTGGTGATAAATCTATGCGCACATGACCTGAAGAGAAATTGAAGGGTCATGCAGTTATTTTGTGACGACCTGAGTGGACCGGGACCACTTTCCCGGCCGGGCCAAGAATGAGTTAAAATTAAAAAATAAAGAATATTAAAGAATATGTTTAACTTTATTTTTTATTTGACAAAGAATTCCTGTCCCACCCTGAGGCACAAATTGTTCAGTTTTTTTTCTGCACAACATATATATATTTTTTTTAATTCGCATTTTCGTTTTTTTAACCCTTGCCTGGCCGGGCGGCCCAGTCAAACAAGGTGGACCATGGCACGCCCCGGTTTATAACACAGGTGACGACAATAAATTTCCATATAAAGAAAACGTTTTTTTTTTTTTTTTTATTACAACAACGGTTTTTTTTTTTGGAAACAAGGAGGACTCATATTTTTGGAAATTAGGAAAGTAAGCTCTGCGGTGTGGCCAACCAGATCCTCGAGCTCGAAAAAAGGGACCATCGCTGCCATCATTGGCCACACTGCCCTAGTTTCCACATGTCAAGAATTTGGAGTACATCCTCAGCTAGAAGGCATAAAAGTGAGGCCCTTTATCGTACCTTCATGTTGGTTAGGAAAAGGCTGACCACCCCGATGATGCTTAGCTGGTCTTTATGAATGATCGGCTACAAGAGGGATGAATCGACGACCCA